GCTTCAGTTTTCCATTTGTGTTTCATTCAGTTGATGTGGCACCCATTTTCCTTCCTTTAACATCTTTCCCATTGCTTCTAAGCAATCGGGAATTGTTTGCTGAGCAACGTTCAATCTTTCTGCAAGTTGTTTTTGAGTTTGCAATGCATCTTCATCCAATAATGCTTGTAATTGTTGGTCTTCAAGCTTTTTTGGTTGACCTGGACGTTCTTTGTCTTTCACATCGAAATCATCACTTTTAAAGTGTTTAAATCAGTGCTCACAAGTACCTTGAGATGGAGCATGTTCGCCATAAGCTTCCTGAAGTGTACGATCACTTTTCCTTCAAAATAAAGTAATGAATTAAAGCTTCCCGCAAATGCTCTTTTTTCGGCACAAAATTTGACATTTTTAAGCGTAAAAATATCTATGATGTTAACACCTTCAGCAAGTTTGACATATGAAGTTTTGAAGCTTGTTGTCAATACAACAAAATAGCATACATATCAAATCGCATACATATCAACATATGTGTAACTCCAGCTATTGAAAAAATCTGCATTATTAAGTGGTACACCTGGCATGTCATTTGTGGCCAGAACTTGTTTTCTCCTTTCCTTACCTCCTGTCTAAAATGTGACCTCTGCTAAAATAGAGAAAAAGACTCTTGGAGTATATTAGCACATCAGATTTATGCTAGAAGAAATGGTCAGTGTTAGCAAGAGAAGTATGGTTTTAGAGATGCTTCATTCTGAAGATTCCAAACGATGGAGGCCTCTTCTGGAGAGGAAGGCTGGATGGAACCAAAGGGACTTTGTCTGAGGGCAGCACAGAAGGGGAAGGATGTGGAAAGCAGAACAGAAAAGTAGTTCACTAACATAGTAAGAACTCAGAGATGACTTGAGAGGCAAAACAAATAAACTATTTTTGGCATATTCTGGATTAGCTAATATTAAGATAGTCTTTCTGGCCGAAACCGGTTTGGCTCAGTGGATAGAGCGTCGGCCTGTGGACTGAAAGGTCCCAGGTTTGATCCCTTGAACCAAGGCATGTACCTTGGTTGTGGGCACATCCCCAGTAGGAGGTGTGCAGGAGGCAGCTGATCAATGTTTTGCTCTCATCGATTTTCTAACTCTCTCTCTCCCTTCCTCTCTGTAAAAAATCAATAAAATATATTAAAAAAAATAGTCTTTCTGAACTACACAGCCATACCTTTCCTAACATGGGAGACCAAACTAAGGGTGCATACTTCCAATGAACCTAGAGTGATTCAAATACAGTGAGAAAAAAAGCAAACCAATGTCCACTAGTAGACCTTGCTTTATCTTCTGATTCCTTGGGGGTCCATCCTTGCTCCCCTGCCCTCTCATACGTGCATGGATTCAGTGAGGCATGTTCTTGTGAGAACCACCTTGAGTTGTTGGGGAAGGTGCACATGCAATGCTATCGAGTGCAGGGAACTGCCCTGCAGTGGCCTGCGTGCTGCCTGAAGTCCCCTGTGGCACCTCCCCAAAGGACCCAAATTCCAACAGCATCAACTCTCCCATTTCTCTTGGGCACCTCTACACAGGTCAGAAACACGGGTCCATCCTGTGGGCTAAAGGGCCTGGATGAGCAAGAGACAGGGGAGAACTGCACCACGTTCCTGGTGCTCGGGAGTGAGGATCGATGGTTCTCTCTGTCCTGAACGAGGAGGTCTTCCCTGCCTGCGAAGGGGCTTTAGAGCACAGGGACAGTCCGCAGAACCGGGACCCACTAAGCAGCACAAGGCATGACAGCAAGTTCGACACCATGTGCTCATTCAGAACCCACTGGCTAGAATACCTCTACTTCAATGATGTCATCTAGGGACCCCAACAGAAGATGGATTTCAATGTCTTGAACTTTGCAATCAAGCAGCATATTATGCTTCTCTAGCCATTTCTGTTCCAGAGAAGACTGAACAACCACAACTTCTTTTTGCCGTTTTCCCACTTCCCTGCAAATACAGATAGGAAAATGTGATTACATTTCACTCGTCACGTAAAGTTGCACCAAAAAAGAAAACTGTGTTATAAGCTTACATGAAATTATTTTTTTCTATGAATGCTGTAAGTTCCCCAACGATCTCACTGACCCCAATGTGACTAGCTAACCCAAGGGAGACTATTCAATAATGAGTATTCTTCCTCCAATCAGGCTAGCAACAATACTGTTTTTTCTGCTTACTTTAATTCTAAATCTGTACAAATTTTCAAGCTGCATTTCTATTTATGTATTTAACTGAATTTAATGGGGTGACATTGGTTAATACAATTACATAGGTTTCAGGTGTACAATTCTATAATACTTGTCTGTGTAACTATTCTGTGTGCTCATCACCCCAATCAAGCTGCATTTTTCCCTGAATATACGCTCTACTAGAGGCCCAGTGCATGAGATTTGTGCACGAGGTGGGGGGGTGGGGATGGGGGGGGGGTATGGTCCCTCAGCCTGGGCTGT